TGCTAAGACCCTTGGTAAAGCACAGTATTAGGGTGGGAGTTACCCAATTTTCCAAGTGTTGTGTGTCTCAATTTCCTTTGGCTAGGAGAAGGAATTCCCTTCCCCCTTGCGCTTCCCAGGTGACGCAATGCCTCGCCCTGCTTCAGCTCTCGCTGGTCAGGCTGCACCCACGACCCAGTGAGATGAACCCGGTACCTCAGTTGAAAATGCAGAAATCACCCATCTTCTGTGTCACTCACGCTGGGAGCTGGAGGCTGGACCTGTTCCTATTTGGCCATCTTAGGCACGCCCCCCCCAAAAGCAGGCAGTTTTACACAAGTATATTTAAAATGATTCACTATAGAAATTACTAAAAAACAGAGAGGGAACTAAAGAATGTTTTAATGAGTCAAAGGTAGTTATTTTTTAAGTTTTGAACTCTTTTAATATGAATACTCATGTGTTTTTCTGTTACTTAGGTAACAAGGGTCTTTTCTCAATTTGCATAACATATTAATGAATTTCTCCAAATTTAATTTTTCTTCCACAAATTTTCCCTAATCTATTACTGTGAAAATGATCTAGCACAAACTTGTTTTTGTGAATGGTTTTCCTCACAGCACTTCAGCATTTCCGGGGTTGTGCAAAGGGTCCCTCACATCCAGACTAAAGAACCCCTGTAAGCCAGGTGCAGAGGCTCATGCCTGCAATCCCAGCACTCTGGGAGGCCAAGGCGGGTGCCTCACCTGAGGTCAGGAGTTCGACACCAGCCTGGCCAACATGGTGAAACCTTGTCTCTACTGAAAATACAAAAATTAGCCAGGGGGTGGGGTACATGCCTGTAATCCCAGCTACTCAGGAGGCTGAGACAGGAGAATGGCTTGAACCCACGAGGCAGAGGTTACAGTGAACCAGGATTGAGCCATGGCACTCCAGCCTGGGTGACTAAGCAAGACTATCTCTAAAACAACAACAACAACAAAACATGCATTATGGTACCTGCACATGTGACGATGTGGCACAGGAAAATTTATAATCAAGTGTAAAGTAACAAAATGGAAATGGAAAGCAGCTAGGGAGAGATAAAAAAATAAACCCTGTAGGCCAACATGGCATGTGTCTCCTCTCCTCCTTCCCCCAGCCACCACCCCCACATCATTATTGAAGTCAAACACATAGGATTTTTTTTTTTCAGTTGGAACAATTTTAGTGGAACTAGACTGGAATAATACAAATAATAATTTTAATTTTTTTTAAAAAAATCCACTAATCTTTAAAAATTGGCCAAAGGTCTCCTCCTCTGCAAAGCTTTTCCTGCTCCACTCTGTCCCAAGCACCCATACACACTTCCATTATAGCACTTACCCTCTAAGGTCTTTGAGGATAAGGATGACTTCCCATTCATTTCATATGCCCCAGTGCCTATAAGTTACTATATTCTCAATAAATACTGGTTTCTTCATCTGTAGAATATGTTTAAATAACATCATCTCTAAGGTATCTTCTAGATCCAACATTTTTTGTGTCTGAGTCAAAGTTTTAATCATTTCGCCTACGGCAGGACCCAGATGTAATCAACACTGCTTTGCCGATAGAATACGGTCCACTTGTAGAAGAGGAAGAGAAAGTACCCGTGAGGCCCAAGGACCCTGAGGGGGTTCCTCCTCTCCTGGTCTCTCAACAGGCGAAACGGGGGGAGGAGCGCAGCCCAGCTGCCCCACCACCTGTGCCTACCACCTCCTCTGGCAAGGCTGCAAAGAAACCCACAGCTGCAGAGGTCTCTGTTCGAGTCCCTAGAGGGCCGGCCGTGGAAGGGGGACACGTGAATATGGCATTCTCTCAGTCCAACCCCCCTTCGGAGTTGCACAAGGTCCAGGGATCCAGAAACAAGCCCACCAGCTTGTGGAACCCAACGTACGGCTCCTGGTTTACAGAGAAACCCACCAAAAAGAATAATCCTCTAGCAAAGAAGGAGCCACATGAGAGAGGTAACCTGGGGCTGGAGGGAAGCTGTACTGTCCCACCTAACGTTGCAACTGGGAGACTTCCGGGGACCTCACTGCTCCTAGAGCCCTCTTCGCTGACTGCCAACATGAAGGAGGTACCTCTGTTCAGGCTACGTCACTTCCCTTGTGGGAATGTCAATTACGGCTACCAGCAACAGGGCTTGCCCTTAGAAGCCGCTACTGCCCCCGGAGCTGGTCATTACGAGGACACCATTCTGAAAAGCAAGAATAGCATGAACCAGCCTGGGCCCTGAGCTCGGTCACACACTCACTTCTCTTCCTTAGGATCCCTAAGACGGTGGAGGAGAGAGAGGCAATGGTTCCTTCACAAACCAGAGACCAAATGTCACTTTTTGTTTTGTGCCAACCTATTTTGAAGTGCCACCAAAAAAGCTGTATTTTCAAAACGCTTTAGAAAGGTTTTGAGCATGGGTTCATCCTATTCTTTCGAAAGAAGAAATGTCATAAAAATGAGTGATAAATGCAAGGCCCAGATGTGGTTGCATAAGGTTTTTATGCATGTTTGTTGTATACTTCCTTATGCTTCTTTTAAATTGTGTGTGCTCTGCTTCAATGTAGTCAGAATTAGCTGCTTCTATGTTTCATAGTCGGGGTCATAGATGTTTCCTTACCTTGTTGATGTGGACATGAGCCATTTGAGGGGAGAGGGAACAGAAATAAAGGAGTTATTTGCAATGACTCAGCATGGGGAAAGACATTCTTTACTTGAAAAATCATAGACAACTAAAATGTCACTTTAGGTGACGGTTAGATGCTTTTAATTGTGCTGATTCATCACCAATTGTAACCAATGTTGTGAGTAGTTCCAGTAGTATAGCAGAAATGTGTATATACTCATCTAAATGAAATGCATACATTCCAAGTGCTTTGAGTAGGATAAAGCACCAATACAGATCCAGAGATTCAAACATCCTATTAATATACCTCATGCCTTAAGAAAATCCTCTTACTAAAAGTGAAAAACTGAGTGTGAGGTTTCCTACTGGATTCAAAACTCAAGATTTAAACTACTTATTTAAAAAATTTCCACTAATTAAACTTTCATCATTTAAAAGCAAAAATTTTAAGCAGCAGTGATACATAGAAGCATAGAAACATCCATTTGTGGGCATAAGTGTCAATACATTTTAGGCCAAAACCTTCTATTTGTTTCAGTCATGGACTGACTACCAAACTCAAGTTTATACCTGTAGAGATGGACAGGGCCCCAGGAGGAACAGGCCGCTGGTGGTCCTAAGGAGAGGCACTGATCCAGTCTCTTTCCTTCCATGGCTAACCTGCGTTTTCTCTCCATCATGTGATCCAAGTACACTGGGAACACAAATGTGCTGAAATACACATAGCATAATTTGTATAGCTGTCAAAGACAAATTAAAACAAAGAATTTTTTCCCTAGCAGGCAATGAGGAAAGGAATTGTGGAACCCTTGGAGAGTTGAGGTTGACATTGACATGTTAGAGTGGGAGTTCTGAACCTGGTTTTCACAGATGAATTTTACTTCCATGAAAACGCATTGGGAATCTGTTCAATTTTACACACATACTTATGTGTGTAATGCTTAGAATGCTTTATCAGTAAGTCCTCATTTCATCCTCTTTCTGCTTCTCCTCTATCCTCATGCCCATTTTCTTTCCTGTTGGTAGCTATGCCAAAGCATTCAAGAGGGAAGCATTCTCTTACTACTTGCTAGTAACTAAACATTACCAAACAAAAGGACTGTGTGTGTGTATATTATGAAAGGTATATATATACATGCCTGTTTCCGACCCTCTGTTTCACCTGCATCAAAAGCATCACTTTCAGCGTGGGAAAGCCATTATGTTAAAAGCCAACACCAGACAACTGTTCCTTTCTCTGAAGGCAGCTGCCTTACCCTGGAGTTAGGAGTGTGCATCTATAAAAGCCCTGATGCCCTAGGGGCTACCTTCCTTATCTGCTTAACTGCCGAAAATATTTTCATCAGAGATACATGAAGATGAAATATCAATGAACTCATCTCTAAATAAAAGTATCACTAAAATTTGGTTCATGCCAGGCACAAAAGTAGCCTAATCATATAAACATTATTTAACTCACAGACCACCTGAAGGGGCTCAAGAATATCACTTTGAGAAACACTCTTCCTAAAGGATACTGACAGAGGAGTTGTCAATAACTGAGGAAAACACTTCCATTTTAGATTTGTTACACCAGTAACCAATCAAGCTGGGAGTAAGCTACCTGGTTAAATAGCCATCTCTTTATTGTTATTCATGGGGAAAATATTACTTCTTTCCACTTTTAAGAACTATAAATCCATTACATTTTCAGGTTGTGCCTTTCTACCACTGAGATTGATTTGTTGATCTCTCTAATCGTCCTTATTGGTATCAACTTTCATGTAAATAATAGTCAAGTCTTAAAAGCTTGTATACATGGATAAGTAAATAACTCCACACTGAGATGTGATGACCTCAAGATGTTTCATTTAACTTGGTGTAACCCATGGGTATCAGCATGATATTAATCTGGACTATTGTCCACTCGAATATTGCTCCAGCCATATGGCTACAATTCATACAGACACCATGGGCTTTAGTAAAGTTATTAACCATGATAGAAAGTTCCACCCAGAATATGAACGGGCACAATTAAAGTTTGCAGAAGCTATGCTAATTAAACCATAATCTAGCATAATTATTTATATCCTATGTTTATAAAGAAGCCCATCAAAAGTTCACAACTGTTCCACTGGGAAACTGGCAATTTGCGAGCAATGACTGGTTTGTTAATATGTTGTACCTCAAGATTATAGCAATTCAGACTAGCAGGAATAAACTTTTTTAAAAGAGTATGCTCTACTAAGTAGTTAAAAGGCTGGATTCTCTTTCCACCAGTTAGGATCTGAGTTCTGACTCCCCTTGGGTTATCTGGCCCGTTGGTACCTCAATGTCTCCATATATAAAAGGAGGACAATCACTTCCCTTCCTCACAGCTCCTCAGGGAGATCATACACTGTGTGAAAGCACAAGCACCTCCTCTTACACCTTGGCAGCCCCCAAGTGAGGTGGGGCTGGGTGTGGGGGCAGGTATGTCTATGCCTCCCTGCCCTCATGCTCAGCTGTGGTTCTTGTCCCCGCTCACATCCAGCCCTCTCGGCTCTCCCGTTTGTGCCATGTTTTCTTCGTCTGTCATTTGGTTTTGTTGTTTTAATTGACATATAATAATCATGTGTATTTATTGTGATGCTTCAATACATGCATGCATTATAAAAATCAAATCATTTAGCATATCCATCACCTCCCACAGTTATCATTTCTTTGTGGTTAGAACATTCAAATTCCTCTCTTCTAGCTATTTTGAAATATACACTATTGTTAACCATAGTCACCACACTGTGCAACTGAACACCAGCACTTATTCCTCCTCCTAACCCTAATGACAGTAGCAGGAACCCTGCCAGAACCCAACTCCTTTCAGTGCAAAAGAAGAATGTAAAGTCTCTACCACAATTTCAGTAATTCTTTAAAAAAAATTTTTGGCATCTCCACACAGTACTTAGTAAACCCTATAGTTATAAGGTATTATGTAACTAAAGTTAACTTTATTCTGTAAAACATGGGCCTTTGTATCCAAATTCCCAGAGCACACCACTAAGAATTTCTAATGATCAAGCCATTTTAATAGGTTTTCAGTAGTAATAGCAGGATTAAAATCCGTTACGAGCTTTACAGACCTAAAAGGAGACGCATCTGAATTCATGTTACTCTAACAGACTACCCATGACAAGATTCATAAAATCGTATGAAGTGTGTTGTCAATCTGTCTTTAATGGTTTTTAAAATGAGTCCCTAAAGAACACACAATTTGACTTTGCTAATTTCATTGCAGCAGATGGCTCCTGTGTTGTTGTGTGAACATAAAAAGCAAAACCAGCATTCCCGTAATCCTAAACATGCTGCTGTAAAATAAAAGATCATTACTGAGAACAAATAGAGAGGCTTCTATTAAGATTCTACTTTCATTTTGTGTCCTGAGTAGGGGTGTTTAATTTTTGATGCACTACTCAAGTAGTGCAAAACATTTTTCAGCTGTAGCCTGACAACTCTAAAACATTTGAAAACCTTGGTAAGAACAAACTACTACATGAGGGGTGAGGGGGGGACAGGAAGTTGCATGCACTGTAACCACAAAACTGCAGGAACCACCTTCCTCTCTTCAGCATTCAGTAAGTGTAAAACAAGTGTGTTACCCTTCATGTGGAAAAATGGCACTACAAGTCTAACCTCAGAAAAAGCACAAGTACCAAAATTAGTCCTTAGTGCCTTCACATGTTCATTTCTTATATCCCTCTTCTTGACATCCTCGGGCTCTCTTCCCCATCCCATCAATTTCCTAAGACTTATTGCCTCCTTGTGAGAACTAACCTGCAGTTATTTTTCCTCCATCACTCAATGTTCATTTCAGCTGGTATTAGGTGAAAGACAGTCTTATTAAATGAACTCACATCGAAACCTTCGCAGCTAGGATAGTATTTCTCCCTAGAATATTTACATATTAGAAGAGGTTATTTGCTAACATAGATGAACATCAGATTGATAAAACTTCAGATGATTATATCATTTTGGATGGTTTAGCATTCATCAGTTACTTGAGAAAACAGCAAGCAGACCGGGCAGGAGTGAAGAGAGTTACCACTACTAGACCGCAATTACCTACCTCCCTGACTCAAGCAAGTTACTGAAACTCATTTTCTTATTTAAAAAACGAGGTCAGGAGTTCAAGACAAGCCTGGCCAACATAGTGAAACCCCGTCTGTACTAAAAATACAAAAAATTAGCTGGGCATGGTGGCAGGTGCCTGTAATCCCAGCTACTCGGGAGGGTGAGGCAGGAGAATTGCTTGAACCCAGGAGGCAGAGGTTGCAATGAGCAGAGATCATGCCACTGCACTCCAGCCTGGGTGACAGTGCAAGACTCACATCTCAAAAAAAAATATATATATATATATATATATTTATTTTTGTCTCAAAGGACCCTTCTAACTGTGAAGTCTGTGATTCTGTAGGACTTCACCTGTGTAAGGTAAATTCCAGCACCCAGCCATAATCAGTGGAGCATGACTGGTGTGTGCATGTGTCCTTAACCTTGACTCTTACCCCAATGAGACAAATTATATGTAATCTTTATATAGAAGTAGACTACAGAGTTTAGTATCAGTCCTGTTTATTCAAAGATCTTTCTATTCAAAGATCTCTTTAACAAATCATCAAATCCTTACCATAGCAAAACAAGATCAGGGATGAGTTCCAGAAAGAAGCAAAGCTGGCAGAACTATGAGTCATGTCCATTTAATAACTTTCATGCTTTCAGTGCCACACCACTTATTTCTCTTTCATTACATTTGCTATAATGGCAACCTTATTAGCAAAGTAAAACCATAAAACTTACCTTTTATCACACCAATATTTGGTGGTATATCTGATGCACTTTCTGTCAGTTGACAATTTGCACCTCTCAGTGCCTATATTAGTCTGTTCTCACACTGCTGATAAAGACATACCCGAGACTGGGTAATTTATAATAAAAAAGAGGTGTGATGGACTCACAGTTCCACATGGCTGGGGAGGCCTCACAATCATGGTGGAAGACAAAGGAGGAGCAAAGGCATGTCTTACATGGCAGCAGGCAAGAGAGCGTGT